GATACATAGGTATTAACTAAAAATACGAATACAAGTAATTAACAAAAAAATACTAATACAATAGGAATTAAAACAAAAAAAAAAAAAATAAAAAAAAAAAAAAAAAAAAAAAAAAAAAAAAAAAAAATAAAAAAAAATAATAATAATAATAATAAGTTCCGTACGGAACTCGCAGATTCACTGTACGGACTCGCCGATTCCGTACATTGAATCGGCGAAGTCACTGTACAGAATCGTTTGGTTCTCTCAAGAACCGGACGATCCCGTTTTTTTCGCCGATTAGATCTGTCCATGACGATTCCCGAGTCGAATCGGGCGAGTCCGGTTTGACTCGGCGTTTTTTTAAACACTGCTTTCAACAATGTGTCCGACAATGTGTCCATCAATATTGAGGATGTTAATCTCTCCAGAAATCCTTTTGCTTGAATAAAGCTAAATCCTTACTGGAACCAGTAAAATCTTAAAGAGTATTTCAAATTGAAGACATAAAGCAAACTAACGCCCCCAAACAAACTAAATCATGTAAACTAACGCCCCCAATAATCCATTAGAGAGAATCATAGCATCACACAGAGAGAGAACTTTGATTGAAAATCGTGAACACTAAAAGCTTTTCAGTCAGGAGAAATTTTTTCAAACAAACTGAATATGCCATCACTTCGTTTCTTTTTAGTTGAAGATATTGCTAGCTATGTTCAAAGACCAGGTCGAGTTACTCAATCTCGGCTAGGTGCTGAGCTGAGTATGGTTTGTGTGCAAACCTTACGGTACTCGGATGGGTGATGTATAAACTTGGTAGAGTATTGTGTGACCTGGCCGAGTACTTGAGAATTCGGCTTAGTGATGCCATTTGGAGGAATCAGTCCTAGTAGAATCAATTCCCCTAATTATTTTGCTTTGTAGTTTTACAGAGCAACTTTTACGGCATAATGCTGTAAAATTTGCTTGTCTTGATGCATAATTGATGAAAATAAATATTTTATGGGCTACATAATGCCCTATTCTTAATCCAATCCATCAAGCTTTGCTCAATTGAATCAATGAGTTGTCATTCGCATTTTTTCCTCTTTTTTAATGGAAAAGTAATTTTTTTTTTATCTATGCAGCCAATCCTTTCTTGTCTACCTCATTTTTTATTCAAATTCCTTGAACCGTGGTTCTAACATGATTCAACCCTCTACAAGATCACCAACCTAATTTGTTGGATCAAAGCCTAGATTTTTATTTTTTATTTTCCAAAATGCTGATCCCAGCCAAGGAATTGATAGATATGGCCCGAAATTTCTCGGTTTTTGGGAAAAGAAAGTTCCTTTTTAAAACCTACTAAATCCATTAATCTTTTGATTTCTGGTTCGTTTTGAACCAAATTCCTTGAAATTTGGTTCGAGTTGAACTTGATTCAACCCTCTATAGGATCCCCAAACTAATCTGTTGGATCAAAGCTATAGATTTGGCCTGAACTTTCTTGGTTTTAGGAGAAAACACAACTTTCTTTTTTGTCAAACCCTACCAGATCCGCCAATCTTTCAAGTTCTTCCTCAATCCATATATGTTGAAATTTGGTTATAGTTGAATGTGATTAAACCCTCTCCAAGTTCCCCAAACTAATTTATTGGAAAATTGATAGATTTGGCTTGAAAATTTTCCATCTAAAGTGAAAAAATACCTTTTTTAAACCTACATAATCCATGAATATCTTAATTTCTCCCTCATTTTTAATCCAATTTTCTTGAAATTTGGTTCCATATGATCGTGATTCAACCCTCTACATGAACCCCATACTAATTTGCTCAGTCAAAGCTTGGAAATTGAGATATTTGGCCCAAAAAATCTTGGTTTTTGAGGGAAAGTTTTTGGATTTTCCAATATCCAAAGTTTCAAACCCTGATTCCTTAGGATCCATAAACAATATTGGGAAAAAGACGTATACCTCCCTCTCTAGAATTGTAATCCCAATTAAACTTGGGTCCATAAGAAGCCTATGGACCCTGCCAAGTAAAAATAGAGGACATTCAACCCCCTCCCTACTTTTTTTGAGGATGAGGAGACCAATGCTCACCTCTTCATCCATTGCAAGGTAGCCTCGTCTATAGGGGCTGACATCCAGTTATTCCCATAGCAGTGGGTGGCTCCACCTGATGTTCCTCATCTCATCAGGTCTACCTTCTCAACCCCCTGGCCTAAGGCCGGCACCCTGCTTTTGCAGGCCAATCTGGACTGAGAGAAATACCTGAATGTTTCGAAGCCAGACATCTCCGGTGAATGCATTACTAGAAAAGATCAGAGAAGCAGTCATCTTCTGGGCCACTCACCACAAATAGTTCAAAAACCTTTGCCACTCTGACTTTCTCCACCGCTGGACTCCCATTCGCTCCTTCGAAACCCAGAGGCCACCACGCTCTTCCCGTTGGAGACCACCCGAAGAGGGCCACATCAAGCTTAACTTCGATGGGTGTTCTCTCAGAAACCTAGGCCATGCAGGCATAGGTGGCTTGTTCCACGACCACAACAGCAATACCCTTTGCTCCTTTTCTATTCCCACTGGTGTCTCTGATTCAACAATTGCAGAGGCTTCTACTCTCCGGTAAGGCCTCAGGAAGTTAGACACTAGCTGGGGGCATTATGTAACCGTTGAAGGCGACTCTTACAGTGTTATAGCCTGGGCCTCAGGCACTGCCCCCTGGCCTTGGAGGCTTGACAACATATTTGAAGAAATCTGTCAACTCACAAGGAATCTACAAATCTCATGGAATCATGTTTGGAGAGAAGCAAATAGTGTGGCTGATTCCCTAGCAAAGGCAGCTGCAACCTTGTCACAAGCCACCTTAGGGAACCTATACACCCTTGGTTTTGTACAGGGCTTTGTGGTTGCTTATTTTTTGGGCGGAACCCATCTGTGGGTATCCTGCCCCCCCCGCTCCTCTCACATTCTGTACTCACTTTCTGTTCAATACAGTCAACATATTAAAAAAAAAAAGTTTCATTTTGTGTTTCAATGTTAGTTTGTGATTTATGTTGCCATGCTTGTGTTTTATATTAACATTGTAGGCATGCTTTTCTTTAACCCGAAATATTATTAATTGGGTCAAAGCTGACATATGAGATCATAGAAGGGACGAGGTACTGTATTGAGAGACTAGAGCATGTGCGCATGCCCAAATTCATGCCATGAGACAGGTAAACATTTATCTATAAGTTTTAGTTGCCAAACAATATTGTTATTTACTTTTTTGTTTTATGTAAATTAAGTACGTGGAATTTACTTTTTTAGCTCTCTATGTATATGGATGCACAAAAGGATTTTGGCAGTAACATGGTTTGGAAGAACTCGAGGAGAACTAGAGCCAAGTTAGCTAACAAACTTCATGAGTCAGTATTTCCTAACAGAACTAGTACATGTGGTTTTACTTCTAATCTTTAATTGACTAATTACTCTTATTTCTTGTCAGTGAAATGGTGGGAGTAATATAGAAATCAAATCTGCACTTACAAAAATTAAAATCAAGACCCTAAGCCAAACCTGTTTCGTTACAGTGTGAGAGAAATTGGAGTGTGTTCCATATTCCAAGGAGGAATAAGCTAAAGATAAGAGAGGTTGCACATGAAAATGTATGTCAACTACAACCTTAACTTTAGGAAGAGGCAGATAAGGAGGGCAGCTAGTTGTTATAAACCAATCAACCTCAACTAAATATTCTATGAGAACCCTACAGAGGGATGGGTGGTTGAGTTGGAGGAGCTAGTAGTACCATGAGCCACCGAGAAAAAGAGGTTAAAAATGAGTCTGATGACCTCAAACTTTTGGTGGGGGGCAATCAAGAGGATGTGCAGGAGGCATAGGTGGAGGGATGTGAGGAGGAAGATGATGGGACCTCTAAGGAGGCCTAAGGTTGTCAGCTACAGTGTGAGTGAGTGTGTGTGGGGGGGAGGAGGGGGGGAGAGATTTGAGAGAGAGATAGGGAGAGAGAGAGAGAGCACGATAGCCATTGTCACTAGAGTTCAATTGGTGGGTGACGTAGTGAACACCTGTGTCAGCAATGTAGCCAACAACGTAGCGAGCTACCTAGCGAAGGAGTTGAGGAGCATAGCCTAGATGGTGTGGGAGAGATCCTTGGTTGAGGTAGAGGTGAGCATGAGAGAGGGATGAATCTTTATGACTATGGCTTAGGGGACAATTTAATTGACATTCTAGACTGGAAGGGAGGCATAGCTAGGATAAGGACTGCTCCCTGTATCTCACAATTATTTGGTGGCACGGACGCTTACCCTGATAATGAGAACCAAGAATACCCTCATCTCCACTGACACTTCTACATCTATGGTCATTCTTATATCTTGTTGAACTGGAGTAATATATGTGGGATGAGCATGTATTTCATAGACATCATGCACTTTATGAGTTTGTATTTCACAATTTCTATTTCAGATACATCATGTACACACTTTTTTGTGTAATTTTCCTATTTTCATATTAATTTTGCTTGATTATTTAAAACTTTCGATCATAAATTTTTGGATTTTTTGGGGAATTTTCCCTAGTTCCTTGTGTGTTCCTTGACCCCCTAGGCAGAACTCGGGTGAGTCCACTCGAACTCGGCCGCGTAGGGCCCAAGTCCTAAGCCCGAGAAGAGTTTTAAAGCTTTGATTACAAGTTTCAAAACATATCGACAATATTGTCCAAGCTTTGATACCTAACTCACCCACCAAAATACCAGCAGGAGAAAAGAAAGACAAAGATAATGCATGCATACCTCAACAAAAATGAGAAACTTGTGACCCTCTATGCCTATTCTATCCAGTGCTTCCATCTAGAGTAAGCAACACCTTGTACAAGTCAGGGCGTCGGTCCCTGAACACACCCCAACTATGTCTCTTGGACTTGATCTTATCAAGATTGAACTCAGCCACAAGAATGGCTTCATCTTTGGCATTAGCTTGAGCCACTATTTCTCCTGTTGGACCTGTTCAAATATATAGTAAGGACTACATAAAGAATGACAAACTGTTTGTATGTATGTATCGCATACATGTGTGAAGTATATATGTACGCAACATGTGATAAAGTACATGCTTATCTGAAAAAGAAAAAAACAAAAAACATAAGACTGTTCCCATCCATGTCACATACCTGCAATGAATGAATTGCCATAGAATGTAATTTCAGTCTTTCCATGCTCTGTTTCGATAACCTCCTTTCCTATCCGATTAGAAGCTAAGAGAGGTACCTGCCACATTTTAAGGAGACTTAATCTAATGTAAATGTACTTACACATACAAACATCTATACATGCAAGCATACGTACATGAAATACACATACACAGCCAAATACCATTGATTTCCTATATCCTTGAGTGGAATACTTCTCTCACCACATTGGCTCCAGCATGGCCTTGCATTACTCGCTTCCAATGTTCACATGAATCAAGGCCTTCATCCTGAGGTTCAGATCCAATAGCAGTTGGGTAAAACAATATTTCAGCACCCTGTAGCACCATCGCTCTTGCTGCCTCCGGGAACCATTGATCCCAACAGATGGCTGCAAATACATAGAGATTCTTAGTTTCATCAATAAGGGCAGTGCATAGTTCAGGGTATGTGTTACTAAATGTTCAACTATTCGGAGAAGTTGTCTTGGACACACCTGAGTAACTTGGGCTCGGCTGGTTGCCTTGCCTGAGTCAAACCTCCCCCCTCCCCCCCTTCATCAATAGAGGGCAGTACATATTTTTTCTGTTTTTCTATATTTTCTCATTTTATGAGAAACTAATCTTTAAACAATAAATTTATTTTTAACCTTTTGAAAACTTCTTCCATCTTTGACATACATTTTCTATTTTTTACCCTTTTCTTTGTCTTTTCCTGATTTAACAGGTTTTTCAAGATTTTTCCTTGATTTTTATTTTCTTAACCAGTTTTTAGCTCAGTGGGAGCTCGGGCGAGTCAACACGGACTCGCCCGAGTAACTGGTCCAGCTCAGTGACCAAGTTCTGCAGCTAGAGCTGAGAGAAAAACTTGGTTTCTAGACAACCTGTGTGTGTGTGTGTGTGTGTGAGAGAGAGAGAGAGAGAGAGAGAGAGAGAGAGAGAGAGAGAGAAGAGAGAATTGGCTACCGAGATCAAGTTTTTGAACAAGGATGCATGTGCATGTGTGGGTGGTTGTGTTTGTGAGTATGTTGGCTACAGAGATCGAGTTTTTGAACAATGATGTGTGTGTGCGCGTGCATACCAGATTTATATGATTACTACAACCAAAAATTCACCAAGCTACTCACCAACTCCAATCTTTGCGAACTTTGTTTGAAAGACCTGAGTTTCCAAAATGTCAGACACTGAATTAAAAATCTTTAACAAATAACTAATAACACTAAAGTGGCTGATTGAAGAATGAAGACCTATGTGAATACAGAATTCAGCTTATGCTACCCAGAACTGCATCACACCTTGAAGCCAGTGTCCCCCGGATTGAAGTAGAATTTTTCTTGATAGCCTGCACAATAAAAATAAATTTTATAAACAAGACCATGATGGGCTATGGATGAAGCTATTGGGAGGGATGAGTGATCTTGCCTGGTCCATCTGGAATATGTGACTTCCTATAGAGCCCTAAATCTGTTCCATCCGCATCTATAATAGCAATAGAATTGTAATGAGCATTATTTGCCTCCTCAAAGAAACTCACAGGAATAACAACAGCCAACTCTTTTGCAAGATTCTGCATCCTGCCCAGATGATTCAAAACATAAAAGAATTAGATATCAGCATTGCAGAACTGAACACTTCCAGCACAACATGTATATGGTTTGCTTTTTCTTTCCTGGTTTTTGTTGGTGGACCAATTGACAACATTGTTTGAACACCCTTTTTACCTCAGAACTGTAGGGTGCCCCTTGTATGGTTTCGCTCGTTTAAAGAAATCCTCTCTCTGGGCCTGACAGAAATAATACCCCTCAAAAAGTTCCTGCATGCCAAAGCAAGAGTAGAATTTGAGACAATGCAGGAGGAGCACCAGAAGTGCCAGAAATATGAACAAACAATTAAAAGCCACCATCTGATCTTAAACCAAGATGACCTGAACATGCATGAGAAGACTAGAGGTGCAAAACGCTAAAAGATATAAAAGCATTACAAGAATTCAGAATGACAAGTATCACAGATGACTTTTAAATCGGAAGTTCTCTAGCCTCTCATTTCCACTATCATAATTCTCTATTCCCACATTAAGTATATCTATTTTGAAGTAGCTTTTTTTTCTTTTATAGGTATACAGCAGTCCTAGAAGAGAGATTTTGACCAGTTTGAACCCAAGCTCGTTACTTTTTGATAAACTATGATTCTTTGACTACTGAATTGACTGGCTGAGCTTGATAATAGAAGGTGAATCTCGAAATGTCATTACTTGGATCAAAGGACCTCTCCCTGCCCATGGAGACTAGAGTACCTTCTAGAAAAATCAGTGATCTCCGTCTCAATCTTCAGGTGTCGTCTAGGCACATCAGGAGAGAAGTAACACTCTAGCTGATGCAGTACCGAAAGAAGGGGCCTTCAACACACTAGTCTAGTGGTCATACATCCATCCATCCATCCTTCCTAACCCTTTTACCCTCCTTACATGAGTTCATTTTGTATAGACCAAACATATGTCTTCTGTACATTCTTTTTTTGAATTTTTTGCATCACACACAGCTCAACTGTAAATTTCTGAGATACAATGAATGCAACAAAGTTATTTATCATAAAAAAAAAAGGATGACTGCCAGCAGTTTGCCACCCAAAATCTGTTGCAGGTAAAGAATAATTAGCAACTATGAATAGCCAAGACAAGAACTGGATCTCAAAACTAGGGGAACCATAATCAAGGATGAAGTGAATCATGAGACAAGAAAGTTTATAGTACAGAACGAAATTGTCCTATGAATAAAGAAAAATTCCCAAAACACTAGGTCCCAGCTTTAAATCAACAATGATGTCCCATCTTCTAAAATAACTAAGCAATTGGCTACCCAAAATTGGCATATAATGTTATGCATTCATAGAGTTCAAAATTAAAAAAATGCATCAAGTTTTCCCTTTTCAAGTAAAGACACAAAATAACCATAATTCCCATAAAATAAGTGACATTGAAAATGTAAGTTTCACACAAATATTTGCATTACGTCACATAAGAATGAGATCTCATACCTGAATAAGAATAATATTTGCTCCTTTCTTATGGGCAGCTCTAACCAACCTGCATTTGAAAGGAATCTCAGTCCTAGCATCTTATCATATGGATGGGATATTAGAGAGAAAGAAAGCAAGGCATTTGACATGAGTAATGTTCATCACTAATTGCATAAGACATTTAACACAAGTATTGGTCCTCATCATCCACTTAGGCATCTATAAACTCCTGGATTTCTCTTTTCATTTTATTAGTAGGCTTCATATTGAAACTTACAAGAGTGATACACAATAAGGTTATCAAGTGGTAAGCCAACCTTTTGTCCTTCAGTCTTAGAGAAATGTCAGTATATTTTTTTCCCTAACTGGATCAGGGGCGCTCTAAGAGAAAATTCATCTGAGATATTATTTAAATTTTTTTTTTCTTTTATAACATCAATATAGTATTATAGTGGATATTTGGGGTTTTACATTTTGAGAAAAAAAATCACCCCTCCAAGTCACTTTTGGGAGTGTCAATAAGACAACATTGGGCCTCTTCTAAAATCGCAATTTCAAATAGGGGTATTCAAAATTCTATATAAATTTTACTCTCAATCTCTCCTTAGAATCCCACTTCTCTCTTTTGGTAAAAACCTCTCTCCTATCTCATCATCATCATCACACGAACCTTATCCCAACTATTTGGGAGAAGCAACACGAATCTTGCTCCGCCATTCTGCTTTAAACTTAGTCAGACCATAAGCCACCAAATACTTTCCCACTACTTCCATCGATGTCCTCTGGGGCCTTCCTAGTGCCTATTTAGAGCCTTCCACTTGAACCTCCGATCGAAGTTTAAAATATCCTCTATACTCTCTTATCTCTTCTCTCTATCATAAACTTAGAGGATCTCCCTATATTCTCCTTTTTCTCTGATATGCACTAGAGGACATCTCTTTTAAGTCTCATTGCTAGCAAACACTTCTCTAAGACCACATACACTCTCTAAAAGCTCCTATCTCTCTACTGAACACTAGAATCTCTCTATATCTGAAAGCTACTTTCTCTCTCTAGTAAACTCTAATATGGGTGATTTAATCACCTGTATTTCATCTTTAGAACCTTAAATACAAAAATGGATGATTTAATTACCCGTATTTCATCTTTAGAAGCTTAAAGACAACTAATTGTGATGGAAATACTGGTATTCAAATTATGGGTATTTCACTAGTTGTGCAAGCATGAAAGGCGGCCATTGACCATGAGTGTTACCACTACCCAAATTTCATTCTAATAGCCGTGGTTCTCTTTGTTTTATTTTTTTAAGGTATTCAAAAGAGAGGCAATATTATCTTAGTGCCCTCTCAAATGGCTAGGTGGAAGGGGAATATCTTTTTGAAAAAAGTTAAACCTCAAATATCCGTTGTCATAGAAAAAGCATTTCAGATGGTTTTTCTCTAGAAAGCCCTTGGATAAATATATATGTAAAACAGATTCCAAACTGTCTTTTCGACACATTAGCTGAGGTTTCATGCCTTACAACCCACCCATAAACTAAGATGTACAATGAACTCTTCCCAAAGTGGATTTGTCACATGAATTTCACAAATTTTGGTCTTAATGTTGCTACCCATTGTAGGAAGTCAGTAGGGGGCTTCAGCACCGGTGAAAATTCATAGCATGAAATGCTCATCTTTGTACAACATGAAAGGAGTGAGACATTGATCATATAAGCATCACATCACTAGAACACCTGATGTGGTACACATGAACTCCATGCGCAATTGAAGGAACATTAAATCATCTGACAAGCAGTAAACTCCATATCTTCATGGCCTATTAGTTCTCCAAAAAACATTAGAAAATCATATAATTGTATCTCCTACATAAAACCATCCTTTCAACAAGATATTCAAAAGAAAAATGAACGTTGTATTAAATATTCACACCCATCAAAGAAATCCAATTGCCTAAAAATGCCAAATTCACTATGTTTCCCCTAACACCCCCAAATAAGAAGGACTATATTGTTGCCCATTAACAATGTTATGCATATTTAAATTAATACAAATTTGCAAATTCCAACGAATTTAAGAGCTCACAAAATAAACTCCATATGAATTGCATTGATTTTAAATATTCACAACACTGTTAATGGGCAACGATTTATTCCTTGCTATTAAGAGTATTGGAGGAAAACTTCCAACCAATTTAAGTGCTCACAATACAAACTTCATGTGCTTGCCTTAAAGAACAATCTTTGATTAAATTCTGTTGATATAAAAAAGAAAAAAACAATCTATGATGAGTACCTAAGATAATGATAAAACTGCTACATTACTGTTTTTCTGTAAATTCATGGAGTGAAGATAGATATTTATTATTTTGAAGAATTATGTAGGGCATGACGTTTTAGTGCAACCCATCACCCCAACATATTGCTCGTCTTCTTGCTGCCCCATTTTATACAAAAAATTCAGCAAGAACAAACTATCATCAAGATAAAAAACAGGATTTCTGAAGCAATAAAAAACAAAACAAAAAATCATCAAGAATAAAATGCCTTTTTCTATAATTTCCCAAACTGCAATATTTAGGACATCAGCAATTGAATAAACATCACAATTTCATTCATTAACAAGGCTATGCAGTGTTTCTCTTCCCAATCATTTGTTATCGATGATACAAAAACCTGAAGAAAGGATATGTAGAAGTTTTCCCAATCACTAGTATCAATCACACAAAGACTAACAAAGAAGAAAAAAGCACAACAAAAATCATATGAACCTGAGTACCTTTCTGCTTTGTCAACATTTGCAGAGACATCATCTGAGCACGCAAATTGCAGAACCGAAACCACCACCATTCGATCCCCCATATCCACCACTAAAAAAGATTCCTAATAAATACAATGATGATAGGACAATCACAAATAAAAAATGAGACAAATAATATTTAGGTTTTTAGTTCCAAACTAAAAAAATACAGAATATTAAAAAAAAATAAAAATTGATGAAGTAGAACATCTAAAAGATGCTATCTTGCCCCTAATTTTTTGCAGTAAACTAGATATTTGTTGGTACCTTTGTGTTAAAAGAGCCAAATAATCCACAAAAATAATCACAACACAGTGAAAAAAATAAAAATAAATAAATACAATATGAACGCACGATTCATAGTAAAAAGACCAAAAATGCAGAAAATTTCAAGAAAAAAGAAGAAGAAACTTGACAATCAAACCAATGAATGATTCTTCAATCAAATGAGCAAACTAAACTAAATTTGACCCTGTTAAGAAACTAGACAACAAACCTATGAATGCTAAACTTGAACTTGTTAGAGTTGGGAGCATTAATATACTCTCAAATCTCTTTAACAGAAAAAACCTATTAGATGCGGGTATTATCTACGGAGAAACCAACTGTAAGAGCAAAACCCTGTTAAATTTCTAGAGAGAGAAAATTGAAAGCTCCAACCACAACGTCCACCAAAATCATCTCAAAGTTGTAGAGAGAGACTAAAACCCATATGAAGATTCAACAGCATCCAGAGACACCGCAAAAAGGGGCTGAGCAAAACCAGTATCAGAATTCTAGAGAGAGAAACAAAGAGACGAAGACCAAGAGAGATGGATGAGCGTACCTGGTATCTTTCTGTAGAGAGCCAGAGAGCAGGGTTCCTTGATGGTGAGAGAGAGCGGAGGCAGAGTTTCTATCACTGGCGGTAGAAAGGGGGAGGCGGAGAGCTCCAGCGGCGGGGTTAATACCCCATGAACTTTCCCAGATAATCGTCCCCATGCGCTGCAAGTTTCTGCATTTTTACTCTTTTTTTACTGTTTCCAAACGGTAAATAAAAATTACAGTACGGAGAAAGTACGAGATTTTCACAAGTTTTCTCCATTATCAAACGCACCAAAAAAGTGTAAGACACCCTGGCGTGAGAGCCGAAAAAGTGTTTCGGACCGCATGCACTCCAAAAAATGTAAAGCATCCGTCGCAAGTAGGTGTTCCAGGAATTATAATTATTACTTTTTTAAAAATTTACTTTTTTTTTTTCTTTATTTACTATCTCTATATTAAAGATTACTTGTTTTTAAAAATTAAGATAAAAAATTTATCTAAAAAATAGATCTATTAATAGACCTATATTTCTATATATATATATATATAAAAGCTTGGCCGCATAGAAACCGGGTCCATACTAAAGGCTTAAAAGAGATTTGAGAGAGAATAGAGAAGTGAAAGTCTCATATGTGGAAGAAGTATTCACAAACTTGGCCGTCGGTCAAACCAAAACTTAAGCGATATAGATTTGGCCGTTTTGGTGGACCGGCCGAACATTTAATTTTTTTAAAAAATATAAAATTTCAAAAAATAAGAGATTTATTTATTATGTGTTTTTTAATATTTTTTTATCATTTTGACCAAGATTGAAAAGTATTTTGGTCATAAATACTTATTTTTATGTTTTCTCATCTTTTTTTTAAAAAATTGAAAATACTTCTGTACATAAATTGATTTTTTTAATTCTATTTTTTCGCTACTTTTCAACTTCATTTAAACATGCTTTGTTTAATCATGCTGTAAATATATTTATCATTTTTTTGGATTATATATATATATATAATAATACTTTTTGGATCGACTGGGATCTACCTAGTGAGGCCGGTTGAACTGACCGGTTTACCGATTACTCCCCTTGATCAGTTTCTGCGGCAAGTTTTCGAACACTAGTGGATTCATCCACTACTCGAGGAGTGAAAGTCTCATCTATAGATTCATCCACCGCTTCACGATGGGTCGCCGGATCAATGATCTAGATGGGTCCGAATCAGCGATCTAAAAAAATATTTAAGAAACTAGTTCGGTTTCATTCGATTCCTAAAGACTCTTGATCGAGATCGCCCACTTTTAACACGCAAATTAAAGTCAAACACCCAATCTTTGGCTTTTCTAGTTCATATAGAGTTCTCCCCTAGTGTCACACTGTATATTTACTTCTCAGATAAGAAGCGTAATAGGATTTTTATAAAACTGCATTTTGAGCATCTAAAGATCCGTGTGTTCAACAATTTCCATTGAATCTTAGGATGTTTTTCCTTTTCTAGACACATATTTTAGGTATAGTTTTTTCTATATATTTTTTTATTATTTTTGAGGTTGTTTACTAAAGGGAAAATACACCCCCCAAATTTGAAGTCCTAAATAGAGTTTTGGGAAAAGTTTCTATATTTTCCCCACACCATAGAAGATATATACTTCCTCCATCAAGCCGTCCAATTTAGATCAAGTGAGCCACTCATTGTTTGATCTAGATTTGACGCCTCATAGAATTTCACTTTTAGTTTTGTTTCTACAAATTGTATGAATGTGAAATTTGGTACGTACCATCTTCTCAATGAGGCGCACTTAAAACAAATATTAAAAATAATTTTTGATAAAAATATGATAACAAAAATACCCCTTGAAAATTTTAGAGGTATTTTGGTCATTTTATTTTATTGAGAATATTTGTTTTTTATGCTTTACAAGTGCCAATTTAAAAGAGGAGTGGATGTCCAAAGTTTGGTATCAATATTTTGTCAAAAAAAATTAAAAATAAAATAGTGTAGAGATGTGACATTGTGATTGGGGCTATCTTAGCCATCCATTCAGAATGGGCGGTTGGATAAGCAGAAGTATATAAATTTTATGTTGTAGGGGAAGCATAAAAAGCTTGCCCATGAGTTTTACTAGTGTCTCAAGAAACATGGTCCATGTCGGTGATCACCTGACCTTGATCGGGAAATGACTGAGATGGGTCCAAGTATCACTACTGGCTGGTTCCCACCTTAAAAACCTCTTTTTCATTTGCCCTTTGAATTTTCATTTTCTAGGTATATTCCAATGCTTAAAGCTCCCCAACAAGTTTTTTCTCATATTGTTTAAAATTTTTCAAAATTTGTATATTTTTAATATTTCCTCATTGTTAATCCATATTGATCTAAATCCATCAATCCAATGCAAGATCGGCATGTGGATGATTGCCCCACCAATCCGTTTCTTTAAACTCTAGTTTTACCATACGCCATTAATGAAAGATATGCTTTCAGAGGAGCATATATTTGATCAGTGTTTCAAAAAGCGCTAGGCGGCGATTAGGCAACCGAGGGCTCCAGGCCAGCTAACGCTTAAGCGGGTGCTTAAAACGTGGGTGGCCCAATAGAAAGAAATAGGTATCTAGTGTAACAATATAAGTATAACTGTATAACACATAAGAATTAGGGATTTAGGGCACTTCAAATGCATATTATACAAGTCCACATAGCACGCACTCCTCTATACTCCATAACCGTAAATCCATAACCAATTATCCAGTCCGATTGTCCACACTCCACAGTCTACACATAGTTAAACCTTAAAATTTACCAACCAAATTACTAAAGTTACCAAACCAGTTTTTTGTGATTTTTCTCTATCTAAAACAGGTTGTAGTGGGTTTTAGGTTTTTCAAACCCATAATTTTTCCCTTGGAACAAAAAATGTCCTTAACAAGGAGCATTTCCGCCCTTGGGTGGGGCGCAGGCCTAGGCGGCCAACCAAGGCTAGGCACCCGCCTAGGTGGGTTCCCGAGTGCCTAGGGATATCTCGCCTAATTTGGCTACCCCAAGCCTTCTGGACCGTCTAGGGGACCACCCAGGTGCTGAGTGGTCCGCTTTTTAAATCACTGTATTTGATTGATTTTTCTTCCATTATCCCCTTTCCCCCAATTAAATAGGCCTAGAGTTGTATTATATCTTCTTATCTTTTCAACAAATTGAAAAAATAAAAAGTTTATTTCCACTCCAGTTAACCGCTCAAGATGTTTTTCAAAATATTAGATCTAGTTAATCTTTTACTATGGTTTTTTAAATATTAGCACACACGTGGGAGAAGAGTTATAATCTAACACAATGAGGAAAAAGTAATTTTACCCAACTTCATAGTTTAAGATGTTTTTTAAAAAACCAAGTCTAGTTAGTCTTTTATTGTGCTTTTTTAAAATATGCATACTATGAGATTGTATATTTTTGGTACAAGGAGGTCACAATCACTTTTAGCCATTAGATGTGAAATTTAAAAGATGACAGTGTGCCACAACATTCAAGAATTTTTTTCTTTTGCCCTTTGTGCCTAAACAATGACACATCTTTGACCATCCAATTTCAAATATAACGATTAATAATAATCGTGACTTCCTTGTATCAAAAATAAATAGTCTTATTGTGTACATTTCCTTGATATATCAGGGCACTGGCTTGAAAATCTAATCATATACATGAAGAGGTTGGTGTACTGTGATATCAACATGTTGTCAAAGTAGCTTAGTACCTTTTTGCCTTGAATAATTAGGTTTGGTCGATGTTGGGAATATTAGTCATTAGAAATGGGCAAACTTTCTCTACTTCCCCTATTGTATAAAACTTATATACTTTTCTCTATCCGATCGTCTCTTTTGAATAGACAACTGAGATGGCTCCAACCAAAATGTCACGCCTTTAGATTATTTTGTTTTTAATATTTTGTTTACATAACATTTTAACACCAAATTTTGGACATTCATTCTTCTTTTAAACTCGCACATGTAAAAAACATAAAAATAATATTCCCAATAAAATAAAATAACTCCTAAAATTTTTAGGGCTATTTTCGTTATTGTATTATATAAAAAATAGTTTTTTTAAAATATTTTTTAAGTGCGCCCCATTAAGATGATGGCACATACCAAATTTTATATTCTTATAATTTGTAAAAAAAATTCAAGATAAAATACTCTGAGGTGTCACATCTAGATCAAATGGTCAGTGACTCATTTGATCTAAATTGAACCGCAAGATAGGAGGAAGTATATATCTTCTAAATGGTAGGAGAAGTATAGCAATGTTTCCCATTTGAAATTGGTAACTAGAATTTGGAGTTTTGGAACTTGAAAGTTCTGGGTTCCTCAAAATTGGAATTGTTGATATCTTGAAGTTTTGAAATACTTGTTTCCGAAGAAATTCTTGAATACGGAGATCAGGTTTCATAGTGATCTAACAAAGCTTCAAAGAGATTAAGGTTTGCAGCTTCCAGG